GCTTGGAGCCAGACCAAAAGGGTTCAAATCCTCACGCCTGCTTGTGTTCCCTCTCTTGCTGTGTCTCTCTCTGTCAAATAAATAAATAAAATCTTTAAAAAAAAAAAAAAGAAACCCAAACCTGTTCCTTTGGCCACAAGAAACAAGCTGGTTTCACTTTGGGGTTCCGGGGATAATGGAAAGTCCTCAAAGGCTAGAACTCCCTCCTCTACCAGGGGACCCTGCCCTAAACCTAGAGATTCTGGGGCAGTTTGGGGAATTAAAGCCTTCCATGAAGGGCGGCCTCCAGGAATAGGAGCCCCACACATAGCACCTGACACCAGGGAGTGATCTGCGGTCCAAGAAACTGGCCTCTGGGACTCTGTGCCAGTCTCCACCAGCAAGGTCTCAGTACATTCGTGCATAGTGTGCTCTAAAACTAGGTGTGGGGGTGGGGGGGCTTTGTGTGTGTAACCCCGGGGAGCCCCACTGCCTTTGTGTCCAATGTCAGCACCACCTTCCGACTCTGTATAAGACCGAATAACGGAGTCTGGATGGGTACCACGCTGTGGGCCCTGGGTGTGGGCAGAACACATCTGAAAACATCTTCTAGTCAAATGTGCCCTGATCGCTCCATCTTTATTCAGCAAATGAGCTTTCCTGCTTTGGGGGACCCTCCTATTTTCCCTCTGGGCAAGAGTGGGAAAAGGGGAGGAAAAGACAGCACTAGAACCAGAGCAGGACCCGGGCATTTCTCCTGGTTGCTGAACCTCTCTCGTCCCTTGGAACAGGTATCGTACTAGCGTCTGGGTGTGGAAATCCTATCTGATGATGACTATGGAAAGAAGCAAAATTTGGGATCTGCTAATGACTTCCTGGGGGACCCGAGGCCAGTCTCTGAGGTGTTTTAATGCACCACCTCACCTTTGGTGAGCCTCAGGAACATGAGGAAGATCACCAGCAGGGGAGTCACATGCCTAATGGGTGGTACCTGAGTATCTCTTAATTTCACTTGGGAAAAATCTAATTAAATGTTGGTGGGGAGGCTTCCAACTTCCAGTCCAGCATGTAAGGAGCTTGGAAGTTGTCTTTCCTATCCACACAAGAAAAAAACAAAAAAACCCAGCAACTCTTATATCCCATTGAACTAAGGTCATAGGACCAAGAGCCACCCCTAAAATGGAGGTGACAGAGAGGCAGATACAGAGAATCCCACTTCTTGGAGCAGAAGCCTGGGAGCAGAGACCCCCAGGGAAACAGCACCAGGGTAGCAAGATCTAAACGGCGACTGGCACATTGCTGGAGGCTCAGTGTGGAGGAGTCTGAGGGTTAGAGATTCTAGGGGGTGGGCAGTCAGAGGGGGAACCCCGCCCCATCATGAGTTTTATATCCAGGAGCCCTACCAGATTCACAACGAAGATCAAAGAAAAGTTCCCTAGTGCTTCCAGCAAGGGGAAGGGAAAGTACCCAGAATAGTTTGTTCTTTACAAGATCTGCCTTCAAGAGAGCCTAACTTCCTGAGGTTTTGCCAGAGCCCGAGGGACCTGAAAGAGAGAAAATATCCAGCTCCGGCCCCTCCCCCACCAACTTTCACGTCTCACCTGAGGGAGAAGACACTGTGAGGCGGAGACACACTGGGGAGGGCCACCACCCAGGGACACAGGCTCACTGAAGACTGGGACCTAATCATACACTCGCAGAGCCCTTCCTCCTTCCCCACACCTCACCATCCTATCCGTAGGGTTCCTATGTCACAGGGGAATACAACAGAAAGAACTACACGTCTCAGACAATATTTAACAAGTCTCTAGGGAAATCCCCAAAACAGCAAGGGTGACACAAAGTGCCAGAGGAAGTTGCCTCTGACACGTACAGTCACATCAAGCGGCAAACGCAGCCCGATGCCTCGCCGAAAGCGTTTTATGTCTCCTATAAAACCTCCCACTAAAGACCCGTTTTTCCTCCATTCCTTTTATCCACTGTATTATGTCCAGTTCTCAAGAAAAATTGCAAGGCGTATCGAAGGACAAAAGAAATGATGGGTTACAGTGTTATTGGCTGGATTATTAAAAGCAGAAATGAGTCTTCCCAGGCTCTAGGCTCACTTGCTGTCAGCCTTCCCCACTTGACAGGAGCTAAGGGTTGTTTTTCTAGGATCATCTTCTCGGGGCTCAGGCAGGTGAACAGCCTGTGGGAGCCACAAGCCAGACCCCCTCCACTCCTCTAAGTAGAAAGGGCAATGGGGCTCTGTCAGAAGGCCCCAGTGCCTTTTTCATTAATAGTCGTGCCGGAGCCCTGAAGGTGGGCCCCTGATGCGGAGCTTCGGACCCAAGTTGACCTGCTCAGAGCTTGGAATCAGAGTCCCAGAGTCCAGCCAGCCTGGCTCCAAGGGAGACTCGAGTGGCCCTAGCACCATGAGCATGGAGTGGGGATTTGTGAGTTGGTCCTCTGGCCAAAGGCCAGAGGCTGGGTGTCCTCTCTTCCTAGGTAGGCCAAGAGCCTCTAGGCTTTCTAGGTTGGGGAAGCAAAGTGGAACCCATGGCAATAATGGGAGGGGGTCCAGGCCGGGCCCCTCTCCTCCCCACTCCTACTAGTTGCTGCCTAACGAACACAACTACGGCTCTTTCAATAGGTGAGAGATTAAGAACCTGACAAGGTGAGGTTAGGTGAGGAGACTGGGTCAGGGACCACCTTTGGTTGGGTAATTGGATTTAGCATCTGAGCAAGCTCTGTGGCGAGGAAGGAAATGTCACATCATGGGGTGAGAAGCAGGCCATTAAGAAATCGAGATCCAGTGGCAGAGAGACACCCTGTGGCAAGGAAGAAAAAAAGGACAGTGATAGGCGGATGCATGGCGGAGGCCAGAGATGAGGAAGCTAAGGGTAGAGGGGACTCTGGCAAGGGAGTTGGGGTGTCCCGGGGCGAGGGGCACAGCGGGAACAACATCTTCCCATGACACAGGAAGTCCTGCTCACCTGGTCATTCTGCCACAATCTTGATAGAAAGTTCGCATGGAGCTACCTTCAACAGGGGGCTTCCTCAGGTGACTGCAGAAGACTGGGGACACCAGCTACAGCCAGCAGCCCTACAAGGGACAGGGTGGCCGGCCATGTATGGCCACCGTGTTCCCAACTTCACCGGATTCCTTCATTTACCCTGAGGCTTTCTCCCACAGTCTCCTCCCTATGTGTCTCCCTGCTCTGTCAACGCAGGTTGTCCCTGACGGTACAGGGACCCTGGCTGACAGAGGCCAGGCTGGGAAAAGATACAGGAAGGAAGGCAAGAGATTAGTCACCATTTCCCCAGAGACAGTGGGTCCTAGCTCAGGTCAGCCACTTCTGGGCAAGTGTTCCAAACTGGGAAAATAGGAGCCCAGGGGACACGCGGTGAAGGTCAGAGCAAAGACATCCTGCGGAGGCTAACTACAACAGCCCTTTAGGAAAAGATTCTCCAACCCGCCCTGTGAATCACTGACTCACTGACTGTCAGCTGCACCCCTCACCGCTTGGCTCCACCTCGGACTCCACTTAGCTTGGATCACATGGACGAGATTCCAGTCCTACTGAGCCCGGAGCTGGGCACCGCTCCGCAGACAGCCCCGGCGGCTGGCTCATTCTGTCCCCACAGTCTCAGGCATGGACTGCTCAGCCTCCCCTGGAGGCAGCATCTGTTGTGGTCCCGTCCGCCCCTTCTCCCACTGCCTCCTCCTGCAGGAGCTCTTTTCTACCCACTTGCCAGAGGTCCTGTAAGCAGCAGGTGGAGGCTGCTAGATGCTTTCCTCCTCCTTGATGTCCATGAGCACCCAGAAATACCAGTCACCGAGGAAGACAACTTCCAAATTTGGGAGAAAGGGAAGGGGGGGTCATTTCCCAGCCTCCCGAGGTCAGGCTACCAGGTGAAGTCTGGCAACACCTTAGAGACAAGCAGGACATTCAACTCTTTGGAAACAAAAAGGCAAATAAGAGCAGGGGCACGGGCCATGGCAAGCCCGCGTCCAATGCCTGTAGCCCCTGGTGTAGCCGACACAGGAATGTCCTCGTCCGCATGGTGCATCTGGGTCGCAACCGTCCTTGTCTCTGGTGGTTCTTCCTCACAGAGACCCCTCTGTCTTACTCAAAGGGGACATCTCATGACCCCTCAGACCTAATGCAGGCTAAGGGATCCCCACTTCTTCTCCTGCCCAGAGCCTGGCCCACCCCAAGATCCCAAAAAGTAGTCACTGAATGTGGTGTTGGGAAGAGATGGAGGAATAGAAAAATGCCATCAAATAAATGATCTCATTAATTACATTTTCGAAGTAGCAAGAGATCAATGGGGATTTTGTTGAAATGTCAGAAATTCGGAGGGAAAATTCAGGAAACCCTTCACAGAGCAAGTAAGCCCGGCGTGACTGAAAACAAAGAATATTGCTATAAACTGCAGTTACTCTCTGGAGAGGATGATTACGAGGCAGGAAGATATGACCCATGGGTCGTGTCGGGAAAACATGAGGTGTGCAGGCTGACAGGGATTTGGGAGAACTGAATTGTTCTGTATAAAAAGAAGAGAATTTAGATGATAGGGGGTCAGGGAGAGGGATACCAAGAGGGAGGTAAGAAGCGGGGGGATGGGGTGTGGGTAAAAACTTGAGAACACCTAGCCCAGGAGAGAATCTGTTATACAAACAATCACCAAGGTGCGGGGGGCGGGGGGGAGGTTATGTTTTGGCCACGGGGATGGCTGGCATCTCGCTTGCTCTTTGTCACACTGTCCGTGTCTTTAATAAAGTCCATTTTGCTCACTGATGCTTCTTTATGGAAGTGGGTCCTTCTGGACCAACTCGAAAGCTTGCTCAGGCCTCGGTGGAAGTAAGGCCAGAATCCATGATAGGAGGACGTTGCCCTGGAGGACAGAGGAGGTTCTGAATGCACTTCCCTGGGAATGGGCAAAACTTCCTGAGCAGACTTCACCCTTGAAGTCTGTGGGGCTGGTGGGGATGACCAATGGGGAAGGATAGGCCCTGACATCATCTGGGTTATCCGTGGAATAAACAGAAAACTGTACTAGTGTAAAAACACGCATGATGACAAGGTGGATTTGGAAAATAGGAAGGCAAAGAGAAGTGTGGAGGGATGTCTTAGGCGCAGGTGGGGTGCAGGCATCCCCTGGGGGTGAGGGCCCTGGAGAGGGGTCAGAGCGTCTAGCTTCCCCCTGTGCCCTTCCCCCACCCGCAGGAATTCCGCTTCCGTTTTCCGCAATCAGTGCCTCGGACGATGGCCAAAGATCTCTTCTTCAGGCAATTTTTTTTTTTTTTTAAATGTCATTTGTGATGTGGAGCTCCTTCTGTTTCTCCATTTGCTGAAGAGAAATCTCACTTCACCCATACTTTGGAAAAATGAAAACAAGAATTTGGAGCAGGTTCAACCAAGTTTCTCAGTTCACAGACAAAACTAGAAAATAGTTAAAAGTTCTATACATTGGGCGCCTGGGTGGCTCAGT